CGAGCTCATCCTTAGTGCGAACCGGTCCTCTGGGCTTTCACCCGAGCGTAGAGTTCGCTGGGTGTTCTTTGATTAGAACAGTCCAAGTGTCTTGCCGAATCTAGACCAAACACCGCCACCCTCACCCAGCAATCTTCAGCTTGACTGTTCTCCAAGAAAAAGTAGGCTCTCGCTCCGCTCGTTCTTCCCGCTCTTTGGAAAAAGTAGCGTAACTACGCAGTACGTCTTCCAGGACTCGAACCACACGCTCTATTTAACCGTCCCTTTCAGGGTCTGTAGCTGTTGACATGGACAATTTGGTGCCCAACAGTTTAAACTGTGAGCGCCAAATCTTTGGCGCAAAACAGCTGTCACGGTCAGACATGATCTCGACAGCAAGACCATGCAGACGGATAACAACGTCTACAAACACCTTAGCTGTTTTTGCGGACGAGATCTTATCCGAAACAGGCGCATGATGAAGAGTTTTGCTGAATCAATCAAACAATACAAGGACGCCATCATGTCTGCCACGCGGAAGTCCAGATATAAAGCCCATACTCACAGACATCTCAGCTGTCAATTGGCACTACCAACGACCGAAGTGGGGCCTGATTGATCCCGATGGTTTCACTCTGGCAGGTTTTACAAGTCGCACACACTTGCGCACCCACTTATATACAGGTGTGGCGAAAAAAATTTAAAAAATGTTCTCTCACGTTCGAGATGGCCTACCGAAGGGCTGTCATGGTACTCATATATGAGACGATGACGCAAACCTTCGTCATTTGAAGCAACACCTCTTGAAGTATCTTCGTGTTCAACCGCAAAGTACAACAGCTCGTTGTGTACTCCAAACGGCGAGCTCGCGATCTTGTGCGAGACGGAAGTCCTTGCAGTGCTTTGTTGGAAAGGTCATTGTAAACCTCAACGGGTTATGGAATATCCCATCGGACTTGTACCCTTCGACGACCTCTTGCGCACTGTAGTCGCTGTTTGCAATCTGATCATCTGAACATCTTCACATTGTCGAAATGAAATTTGCATGTTTTCGCTCCTGGATTTGGATTATAGTCTGAATGACTTGACAACCCACTAGCTAAGATGATCATCTTGTCAAGTTTGTAGAGCACAAATCGCTGTACTTCGCAAAGAATGAAACAAACAAGTTATTATCTGCGATAACGCGGAGTCTTTACTGTTGTACGCAATGGGGCATGATCTGTATAGATTGCAAGACGCTCCTCTGCAGAAAAGTACACACGGAACCTAACCAAAGCATACTTCATTTCTAGGAGCTTATTGCCATAATCTGGGTATTTTCGCTCCGTGGGCCGGAGTTAAAGCGACTGCTATGAAAACCTTGCTCTTGGCCCTCATCATCGTGTTGCATCTACATACAACCGATGGCATAAATCACTTGCATCGCAGACCACATGATAAGGCTTATTGTGGTTTTTAATCGCAAAGACGGGAGCTTCTATCAAGCTTTTTTTTCACCGCCTGGTGAAATTTCAACCATTCCCACTTAACGTATTTCTTAAGAGTCGTTAAGGGCTCAATGACGCTGCATAATCGTGCGTGCATTTGCTCAAATAGTTAGACAAGCCCAGCCATTGTATCACATTGGTTGGCACGGGCCACTCATTGACAGCTGTGACTACAAGAAGGCCATTTTTGCCTACAGAGATCCCGAGGACGGGGATCTCTGGTGCAAAGAAAATGCGCTTATTCATATGAGCTTAGAGTTTATTCTCTCGCATAACTTGAAAGACCTGAAGAAGATGACCAAGATGAACATCGACTTTTCACCCGTTTTCTTACTATGCACGAATATATCGTCAAAGTAACTCGGTGCAAACTCTCTCAATGGACGAAGCAGATCCGTGACCATTCTGATAAAAGTCGCGGGAGTGTTTTTTAAACCTTATGGCATCATTAACCGTTCATATGCTGTGAGAATTCCCACAGCATATGACTGGGATACTGACTGCAATCAATTTTGCGCACTCGTATCTGATAGAAACTATCTTTCGATCGATCGCACTGAAAATAGAACTGCCAATTATTCCATCAAGAGTTATATCCTTGCGTGGAACCGGAGACAGGACAGGTATGGTCGCATCGTTCAATTTATTGAAAGTGTGGACAATGCGCCAGCATCTCGTGGCTTTCTTCACCCAGAAGGTTGGACTATAATGACGAGACTTACTCTCATGCACATAAGAAGCTTTCTGCCGCTGCATTAAGAACTTGCCGGTCGCAATCACTTCTTCTACTGACAACGGCAACTGCCGTATGATACAATGCTCCATATCAGGAAGTATGTTGATCTCATGACAGATGCCTCTGTCAGACGGCAAATCTGCCTGCACCTTGTCTGGAAATATATCAGCAACGTCCATAAACAAGGTTGGTCCTTAGAGCTTCCCAAGTCTGCTCATCAAACCTTCCCTTCAGTACCGTCTCATCAAGAACTCCGCATTACTGATGTCATCGTCGATAGATTTTCCGACGATTGCACATATTCGCAAAATTTTACCTTTCGCCACGTTATGCTTCAGTGTCTTCTTGCTCCTCAATGGCAAGTAAAACAACCCTTTGACTAAACTTAGAGGATTCCCCATCTCTACATGACGGATTTCATCGACGTCAGCTCACTTTTGGCACTAGCATAAAGTAGTGATAGCTTTCGTGCAGGACATGAGGCTTTTTAAAGTATAGCGATGATAGTGCTAGACTCCTCGAGCCGAACGCGAAAGGTAGATAAGTCAATAAGCTGAGGTCTCGGGATCTGACGATAAAGGGTGGTTGTATGTTGCAGACTCCAGAATGCATATCTGTCGAGACAAGAAAGTACGACTGTATGCCGACCTCCTCAAGTATGTGTCTGGCGGAACAAATAAAGATCAGCTGTGAGGTTTGAGGCCATTTAAGAGTGAAAGGGACTGGGTGGTGTAATCTCCCATACCAAAGCCGGTGGATATAAAGGACGTCTGTCAGTCGAGAGTACAGGGGCTAGGCCCTCATGATAAGAAGTATGGCCCATTATTGCCATAATTTCGGTACTGCAGAGTCAGCACTACCGTAAACCGGGTCCTCCATATGGAGCAACAAAGCACCTTGAGTAAGTGGCGAGAGAAATCATTCAGTCGTGAAAGGAGTTACTGACATAGCTCTATAGGGTGTAAATGTCCCCTTACTACATCCGATTAAAACTTCTATATTATTGAGGGAGTCTCTCGCGGGAGAATGTGCCTATAATTGCAGGACGCTGACGTCACCAAATGGTACGATTTGTATCAGAGGAAGATCTTAGCTCGCCGTCCGCGTATCACTTATTGACAACACTCGCAGAGCACTAAGTTGACAAAGTAGGGCATCTATTACTAATGATTATGCAGATCCTTTTCATCATTTGTTGAAAAAATATCACAACGTGGTGATGACATTTTCACCGCGCAATTTACACCTGATAGGGTTCTCAATTTCCGATATTTACGATCGTGTTTCGTATTATCTCGATACTATTGCCCTCTCATGATTTATTTCCAGTTCATGCTTTTGCTTGATGCTTGAGTCCTCGTGTTGCTCCATCTGAAAAAAATGTTGTCCAATAATCTTGCGAATTTTGCTTGTCGCCAAGTGTATCGATATTTTTGACGACCACAAACCTATGAATCCTTGGTTTTTTGGTTTAGTCATTTATTTCTGGTTTTTCCTTGTCACAAAAATATTCGCTCCTGTATGTGAAACGGCGAGCCAAATACATTATCGCTCAGAACTGAGATGTTGTTCGTCAAAACTGATATTTGACCCGGGTTCAAAATCGTGGGCCAATTTTAAGTATGTATGCCGTATATCATGTGCCCAAAACTCAAAGGATGACCACAAAAAAGCATCGTGAATCAATTTTTGGCTATGGAAGTCGATGCATTCTTCTTGATTAGTGGCCTCATCCACTTGTCGCTTGACGCAAATCAATTCGTCAAATTTGTCTAATGTGGATTCACCAACTCCGTCAGTACAAAGTGAACTATCACGAAAACCAACACCTAATCTTCCTTTTGCTTCCAATTTTTAGAACGAAAGAATATTTTTGATTTTTCGCATAACAAATTTCTATGCCAACTTCTCGTGAAACTATTTATATTTTTTTACCTTCGTTGAAAATTGGCCCGTCAAGGTGAAACATTTATGCAAGGTCTGGGCATCAATTGCGCTGTCTTCTTTTGTATCTTCCTCGCGCACAACCACTTTCGCCCAAGCCCCGTACACGATCAATCTTTATTGTAGTAAACAAATTCAGATTGATGTCCATTCGAATACTGCCATGCTCCGTCCGCCTAATTGGCCGGCCTATCTCATAGAATTGCGCACTGAATGTAAAGGTCGGTGCCCGACGTTATACACAACCACTCGCTTTTCTCTTTCTATGCGCACTTTGGCAGGCTTGATTCTGTCAATAATCTGAGGTAGCAAACTTCCATTAGGCTCGCTATTGAAGCTATACGACTCGTGTACTTATCACTTTGCGTCCACATCAAGGCTTGCCTCAGGGCTAAAGGCTCAGCTTTAGGTTGATTTTTTCTTTACGTTTTGGAAATCACCGGCGAAGGCCATCAAGATTTGATTACGGAATGCCTCATTGAAACTTGTTTGACGTGCTGAAGACAAAATATCGGCAACATTGGTTCTCACTTTATAAAGCAATCCTTTTTCGCAGTTAGCGTTCTGTCATTTATACAAAATACTCATCTTTTACAGTGTGCAAATATGGTGATGGCGAGCAGATAGAAATATCAATTTAAAACTTAACGCTTTCTTGTTTGCTCTGCAATTTCGACACATTTCTTGCAATGTGCCAACGTTTTGAAATTCTTGCTGTTCTGCGATCAAGGATATGTTCCAAAATTAGGACACAGACGACTCGCTGCATTGTGTCTCAACAAGCGCACGCGTTCCGAAAAGCCGCACAGGTTAGTTACAAATTTGCAAATTACTTTTTACAAGGAACAGGAATGCTACGCACCCACGCTGAGCGTGAAACGATTAAACACACTCATGACATGGCCATAACTTTGCAGGTTCTTCCCGGAATTCCGCCGCTTTTAGTTCAGAATGAGCAAGATAAGGATAATCAGAAGAAGTGTGGCAAGACGAAGAAGGCAACGAACGCAACCGCTCCACCTACCAAGATCCTTTTTCTTGATGGATTGCGTGGTCTTGCTGCCTTGCTAGTCGTTACGCAACATTCCCAAGAGTACATGCAGGACTTAAACCTAGGCGCCGTTGCGGTGGACTCGTTTTTCGTACTCTCATCATTCCTCCTTACGTGGCTTTTTATGAAAAAAAGTATTTGCTTGCTCAATCAGAAAGCGGGGATACGTAAATGGGCATTCCTATTAGCTGACTATTTCTCCAAGCGATTTTGTCGGGTTTATCCTCTCTTTGCCCTCACATGCGTTGCCTTGAGAATAATGGATGATGAATACAAAAGTCGCTATTATCATATCGAGAAGGCGGCGACTTTTGACTTGTTCAAAACACTTACGTTCGACTTTGAATCCCGGTACTTTGTATTTTGGACGTTACCGCTTGAAATTGCCTATTATTTTTTTATCCCTGTGTTTGCTCTCGCTACGCTGTCTCTGAGAAACTATTGGTGGGTACCATATATTCCTGTATACTGGTGGATCATCACTCAAGGCTGGAGCGAGTACCGCACGAGTCACACAGGGCTCTTACCGCATATTCCTACGTTTCTAGCGGGATCAATGGCTGCAGCTGTCTTCATCAAGCTTGATCCATGGGTAAAAGCCAGTGGTGTCCACCATCAAATTTGGTTCAAATTGTTGCTTCGAACGATTGAGTTTACAATGCTTGCCATTTTTTTAAGCGTGGCCTTTCGTGGTCTTTTCTTTAATTGGATTCACCATAACGTGGCACCACAGACGCCGGGTTTCCCATTCGTCAGTGTGACGTTAACGAATTTAATTGTGTGTGAAATGATCTTGCCATCGCCGGTATCATCAATTTTAGAGTGGAGCTTCCTGCGGTATTGGGGTAAAGTTAGCTTCTCCGTCTATTTGCTGCACAGCTTCGTTCTTTTCAATACAACATTAAACTCGCAAGATAATTATTATTGCCGACTCTTCTCACGATTTGGGTTACTTTGTCTGCTGGCTACGCTATCGTATCAATTTGTCGAATATCCTTCGCAATTGTTGGCCCAAGGTATTACGAAAGCTTTGAACAAACAGGAGGCAAAAGGCTCGGACGACATTACTTTTTTTTGCAGCAAGTGGTGGAATAATTTCAGTGGTTTGGCCCAGCATTTTACATCAATACTGGACTTCAAAGCTTACAGAAAATCCGTTCTTTTAGATGAACACGGCGTGTAAGCTTTAACGACGGCAAACCCAAAGCTAATGATGATGTGATTGTATAACTTACTGGTTGGTATTGATGTCACTATGATACAGCAAGAAAATCAACTAATATATATTGTCTAAGTTGATTGTCATGGTTGCTATCCGAATCGCTTGATCGTTCATGTAAAGTTGCCAGGCTGCGCTCCTACACTGTGAAAAGTTTCGACTCAGCCAATGCTAAGAAAAACTCGATGCTAGCCCGTTTTGATCACTTTTTCACGCAGGCTAACGCATGCCAATATTAATTCACGGCATACGTCGACATCTTAATGAGGTTTAATATGACGTCAAGCGTACGTCTAGCGACATGTTATTTGTCTGAGAAGCCTGACGAACTCCAGGAAGCAGCACGCACGTAAGACTTTGTTAATCGACAAACTAAATTTATCATGAGCCCTGCTGCGACGAAACTGAGTGCCCGTGTGTATCTTTTTTTCAAATGAAGACGATAAATATTAAAGTCGCTACTATCATAAAATTCACCAAGTTTGCCAGAGACGATGGCAAAAATGAATTATTGATCTAATATAAGCGTACAACATATTTAGTGCTTAGCGCCAAATAATGACACATGCATCGTTAACGCTTGTCCACCTGTAGACTTAATCCTTATATCTTAACCGTCATATTAGTTCTGAGTATTGACGGTACGACTTTGCTGTTCACGCGTAACAGCTGTTGCCAACGCAATGTCGCCCGCTCTTGCGTGGGACTCCAACCCTTCGTAGCACTCAGTCGAGTGCAAAGGGGCACGCATGACAGAGAAAACATCTGCGGGTATCGCGGAGCTGCTCGACAGCGTGACTGAGATCCATTACCTTTGACGTGTTTGTAGAGCATTCATACCCAGTAGCACAACCTGCCATTGCGGCATGTAAGTTGTGCTCCGCGTTTAATGCGCTACCTACACTTCTCAAAAAAGTATGGTGGATGCGGAAGGTCTCTATGCGAGCCGCGACCGTTCGAAGACCCTCCATGAGACGATAACCATTACCACCGTTGGAAGACGGTCTTTCGCAATTGCGGTTATTAGAGTCCTAGTCCACTAGTTCTAGCTAGTGAAGATAAGATCAGAGAAGGTAAGAGTGTCTTGACGGGTAGACAAAAGCTTCAAAGACATCCTTTACGCCGGAGAAAGAGATGCAAGCACTCGCGACTTTTGTTACTTGAAGTTTAACTATGCCTATTCTTTTTAGGTACTGTAACGGGGTTACACGTACCCTTGGTTAAAAGGGTGGGTCACACAAGATGGTGTGGATTACACAAGTCGGTGTAATCACACAATGGTGGCTACACCGTAACCAGAAGGCAGGACTGCCAGTAGCAATGTATATTAATTAGTTTTACTATTCAATTAGGAGACATACAGCTTTAGAGATATAGGCGGCCACCTCCCCCAGAAATCGAGAGGTCGAGGGACGGTCACGGTGCCCGCAAGCTCGAGCGGGAATACCTCGCGCCGCTGGCGCGCTTCAACCTCCTCGTCTTTCCATGCTGAGAAAGGAGTATCCGACTCGTAGTCGTCTTCCACCTAAATAATCGACGAAGAGATCAGTTGCTCGGGGCGGTGTTCGGTGTCCTGCCGCAAATAAACAATTGATGCAGTCTCAATTTTGTACGGAAGAGCGTCTTTACCTTGGCTGAGGTATTTAAATATCCTGGAGATAGCAGATTACAATCTGCTACACTCGTACTGGTTCTTGCATAGAACATAAGGTCGGTAACCTTAGCTGAGCTTCCTTTAGTCAAAGAGCTACGGCAGCCGCTGCACCTGGTAGCACTTGTAACCAATCTACGCTTGAGTCGTTATGACTAATCTTCTGTGAGGATGGAACAATACTCTTATTTGCCCCAGGGCAGGGCATGCAGGACTGGCTTAATAAGCTGAGCTGAACGCTGAAGACGTGGAACACTTTATTTCGCAAGGGCCCGAAGCGATAGACGCGCGTCTAGAGACGAGTTCGAGTTATAAAAATGCTCGGCTAGAGCACCTAGAGAAGAAGATGTCGACATCGACTGCGTCCATGACGCCACTGTCGATCAAGGATGACTCCTTCCGACCCAGGATGGAGAGAATCCCCTTCTCTGGATAAGAGAGGCCGAGATGGCTATGGCATCCGCCTTCCTCCAGAATGTTCAATAGCGCGTGGCGCTAGCTATCTCCAAGCTCGGTGGCCGAGAGAGAGAATGGGCAATAACGTGCGGTGCTTTGGTTGAAGCTGCGTTCCCCTCTTGGAAGGAGCAGAAGCGTCAGCTTTTGCGAATGTTCTCGCTGCCTAATCAGGCATATCACGTGCGATCGTGTTTCCTTGCCGCCCGACAGGGCAAGAAGAAGTTGGTGGACTTTGACCAAGAGCTGAGAACTCTCATTGCCAGGATGGCAGCCGATCCTCTCCTTAAGGCGGTTGCAGTGACGGCCTTAATGGAGGGCCTCCGCACTGGCCAGGATGGAAGTCTTCCGTGTGCATCCGTCTTCTTTTGAAAAAACGATGAATGTGGCATTGAATGCCGACTTCAACTTTAAGTCGGCACAATTTTTTTTGGTTGGAATGCACACCCTCAGAGATTGTCGAGCGGGCCTGAGCCAATGAAGCTCAGCTATGCTGTGAAAGAGGAGGAAGAGCTTCCAGCTGCCGATCAGCGTTTGAACACCAACGGTGTAGTGTTTGTGTGAACACCCGTCGCCTTGGGACTGATTGTCCCCTGCGTAAGACGCGTAACGGTTCATCGAACGGACGTTCCGCTTCTTACCAATCTGCTCGTTTGTCGCGGAGGAACGACAACACCCAGTAGGCGCGGGGCGCCCTAGTGGGTAAGTACTGAGTTATGTTGAGCCTCAGAGAGGTAGAGAGCAGCAGGACCCAGTCCCGAAGAGCTCCGTGCTCTTGAACGCGAAACGTGTATGCAAGTCGGGCGTGCTAATTGTAAAAACGACTGTGAAGGGATTTGAAAAGCCATGGAAGATCCTTATCGATTTCAGAGTGTCGGACAATTATGCTCGAAGCTCCACGATCGAAGGAAATCAGCTGTATGCTGAGGCGCTAGAAGCGCGATTAAGTGACACCTTCACTGTTCGCTTAGCGACGGAGATATGTGTGACCGTGCCGAGGGCACCTGTGTATCTCGGTGTCAAGTCCCTTGACTTCGATACTGTGGAGCGATGCTTAGTCTTATACTTGGATGCGAGGTATGACCTTATCCTTGATATGGCATTGTTGGAACACCATAAGCCGTGGATTAATTGGAGGTCGAAGGTCTTGAGCGCTACGAGCACGTCTCCTGGAGGAGCTTTAATGAGTAATGAACTCACCTACGCTTGGAAGCAGAAGCGCTATTGGCACGGGCACTGGACCGAGACGGTGAAGATGCTGGATATCGAAGTATCTGAGTTGTCAAACACCAAAGGTGTATTGAACAAGAGTCCGCGAGCATGGCTCGCGGGATGAACGTGAAATGGCACGTGACCTCATTGAGCGCTGCTCAAGTATTTAAGCAGTTGCTGCATGCCAAGAGTGGCATGGTCGGCCAAGGGTCGGAGCATCGAAGGCGAGGCCCCAGTGGTGCACGTA